TGTAACGCTCTATGTATTCCTATGTCACGCTCTACGTATCCCTCTGTAACGATCTACGTGTCAGATACGCAGTGTGAGTTTCAACTCCTTACATGCATAGTGTCTCACAGGAAGTTAAGTTTAGGTTATGAAAAGTGGGTTGACATCGACTTAACAGACTCATGAGTCACGTGACTGACCAATGACTAAATAGTTAGTCTTGTGACAAACCAATGACTGGAGTTAATGAGTCTTGTGACAAAGCAATGACTAAAGAGTTATTGAGTCACGTGACGAACCAATAACTAAAGAGATAATGAGTCTTGTGACTATCCAATAACTAATGATTTAACTAACCTGAGTCAACTCTGAGTGTCTCACGATGACGTGGATGTGTTTCATTGCAGTGAGTTCATACAGACACAAAACTAAAGGTGCATCTGTGTGATGGAATCAGACTTCGAGAGCCGCTGACCCACCGTCCATATGTGATGAGTTGGATGTGAGAACATGTTCATTCCAACATCATGTTAAAATACGTCAGCACTGACCGACAGATGTCCACAAACACACATAAAACATGCACACATGAACAGGGAGGCCCACATGCATGTGCACACACACAAGCACTCACACACTATCAATCCCAGATAGTGGTTCGGAGGTTTGAGGTAATGGGGTCTTAAATTTGTCAAGAGGATTTTATACTGCGGTTTAGATTTAGGAGGTTGTTGTAATAGCCTTCCAGCCCAAAAGGACGACATTTACCAGGTGGCTGCTACACACACACACACACAAACACAGACACAGACACACACACACACACACATTAGTATCTGCACAAAAGTAGAATCACACAGTGTTCTCACACACACTCCTCATGCCAGTTGACTTACCTTGTGTGGCGATGTAATGTCTGGGTCTATGGTAACCCTGTGAGACAGAGAAAAAGTCAGTTAAGTCCTGTATTTCTGTCTTTTACCTTCCGCTTTATATATTCAGTTTTTCTCTCCTCCGTCTCTTTCACCTTTTCCTAGACTATCAATTTTCTGTGTCTCCCCAGATTCCCAACTAATTGTAACACCTCCTCTCGGCCCTGTCCTTTGTGAATCTCTCCTTCCACAGCTCCTTAACCCTTCATTTTTTCATTCCCTTCTTATCATCAGTTCATCTCATTTCTTATACTTCTAGCTTTGGACCATTTTACTTCATTCATGTCTACATCGGTTCTTTCTGCCTGCTTCCCTTGCTCCTTCCCAATCCATCTTTTCCTCCTTCCAAATTTCTTCAGCCAATTCTTCTCTTGTTTTTGACATTCCTTCACTTTTGAGGTGAAGTGATTACTTACTCTTTCTCCATCTAAAATGATCCTCCTTCACTTCCTTCATTTTAAAGTAAGCCTTTCAATCAATCCATTCCTGCACCCTCCCGTTTTCGTCCATCCTCCGTCTTTCTCGCTTATTTTAATCCCCATTTCTATTGTTACCAGTCCATTAAATGGCCTGAATCCGTTGTCATCACCATTCTAATGTTTCAGATGGGGCAAACTGCCCGCACTTTTTGAACGTGAAACCTTCACATCTTTATACACGTGGTTAACGTTGTGAATTGAAACAAAAGTACTTGGTTAGCTTTAGGAAATCATGGTTTGCATTGAAATAAGTATGTTTGTTACCTAAGTATATTTATGCAACTTAAAGTTACAAGTCAAGTCATTTTACATTACGTTATCACGTAATATAACTTTCATTCGGGACATGACCATGAACTCCTGGGTGAAAGTCCTGAGTTTGTTTGACCCTGACCCTATAGTTAGGGCTGGCTCAGGTTTATAGTTAGGGCTGGCTCACGTTTATAGTTAGGGCTGGTTCAGGTTTATTGTCAGGGCAGGTGCCGGTTTATAGCTAGGGCTGGCTTAAGTTTGTTGTTAGGACTGGCTCAGGTTTATACTTAGGGCTGGCTCAGATTTGTTGATAGGAC